ATCTGAATTCACAGAGTCCAGGAAAAGGCAAAGAGAAATATGTCCCAGCCAAACTGCATTCACGAAACTCAAGTCTCTTAAATCCTGTCCGATGGCATTAGAACCGTCTGGGATTCTTTTCCAGAAACATAAGATTTATTTTTCCGTCTCACTCTCTCGGCTTTGAAATCAGCCTGCTATATTAAGAGTTCACTTGGGGAGGAAAGTTAGTTTCGCTTTTGAGGCAGACTGATAAGATAGGCTCACCGCTGCTTTTCTTCTTTCATCCCAATAATTTTATTCTTATTTTCAGCTTAATGGGGCTGTTTCATAAATCAAAGGCATCAGCTTACTTAGTTGTTATATATTTTAAGCTTATATTGGTTGTTCTCCTCTCTCCGATAGAGGGTTACTCACGGCTCCGTGCCAAATATGGCGCCCGCTCCGATCCGTGCTGGGTGATTTCTTCAGAGGGAAGAAGTCCGGGTTTGCATCCCTTTCTTCTCCTTCTGCTGCTCACCATCTGCTTCAGAGAGACTTCTCCTAGACTCTCCTTCGATCCCCATTTCAAAAAGGGGATCCCGGACCGGACGGTTCCAGTTTTTCCAGAGAGAGCTCTTCTCTGGAGCTATTGGCAGCACCGCAACAAAGCCCCGCCTCCTGTTTTGTCATGTATTCTAAGATCACCTGGGTTACCCAAGGTTGGGAACCACTGCTGTAGTTGAAGGGCTGTTTCCTCCAATATTGGTTTAAATATAATGAAGAAAAGGAGCAGCGGTGTCTTGAAGTTGCCCACATACGGTTAGCCCCTGGGCAGCAAAGTGATCGGGCACATGACTCATCTGAGCAGAGTCTTTCCCCCTGTGATCAATGCCTTGTGTTTCTATTCTAATATGAAGAGTGTTCAACAATATTTTAATAAATGTTAAATTACTAAATGCATATTTACATATTAGAAATTTTGTCCTCTTTAAGTCAGCATATGAAAATGTTACACAAACCTTTTCCCTCTTTTCCTTTCTCTTTCATGGCAATGCTTAGGTACCCACCTCTAACTGTAGTGCTGCTATGTTTTATTCCAGAGATAAGATAGCATTTATGTGCTCCAGGAGCTGCAGCTCATAAAGAAACGTGGAAAATGCATTCTAACTCCTTGGGATAACCCATACCAATTGACTCCTGTTAAATATAATGTCGGTGATGTTGCATGTTATGTTTTTGTTTGCTCTTCTTGGTCCCACAGGGTTCCAGAAAAGGAGCTGATTCCAGGGATAATCAAGCAAGGAGCAAATTGTTTGGAGTCTCAGGGGCAGGATACAGCGGGAAATGCTCTAGCAGGAGTTGGGAGCTGTAAAGGGACAGTGAACAATCCTGCTGCCACTCAGGTGAGTTCACCTGAAACTTGTATGGATCTGGTTGTGTTTTCTAAAATCTACTAGGGGAGACAAGGGTGTTTATTTGAAGCACCCATGTCCTGATGGCTCTGTGGGCCTGGCAGAGTCAACCAGTAATCTGTGGGTAGGAAGGAAGGAGTTTAGAAAGTACAGCAAAAATAAAAATGAAGGGATAGTGTCACTTTAAATACTAATAGGGTTTTTCCAGTGTGGGCTTTTTGTATTACAATCCACTTCCTCAGATACAATTCTTTTGTTGCGCCCTTTTATTTTTATTTTTGCTGTACATATCGAAGCAGGCTGAAATGGCTACATAACTGAAAAAAGTTTAGGAAGTTATTTTTGAAAGGACTTTTTTTCATGTTACTCTTTTCAATGCGTAAACACTGAAACTGTGATGCTACTTCTTACTATGTCAGAGAAATGTGACACATAATGTGTGTGTGTGTGTGTGTGTGTGTGTGCATGTATGCATGCACCCCCCCAAAAGAAATCAACATTTCCCCTCTTTTACCATTAATTCTGAAACATAGCTTCATTACATTTTTAACCATAAAAAGAAGAGTAATTGATTACAGGAGGTTGTATTACTTGTGACTTGTTACTTACCAACTCTGTGATAGGAATAGGGCTGACTGGGCTTTTCCTCCATACGTCCTTCAAGTGGCAGTATTTCTAGGAGATGCTCTCCAGCTGCTTGAATTGACCTTGTTATCAAAGCAGTTAAACAACAAACCAGCATCAGGCTGAAAGCCTAACTCCAACCCACTGTCATGAGTAGTCAGACACAGTGTAGCACGAGCTGAACATTTTTAGTCAGCTCTCTGCTACTTGCTCGCTCAGTTCTTGACAATGTAGTCGCTGTTTCCTCCATAGTTTCCTGTGGGTATTCATAAAATAGCATTATCTAATGGGCACTGCTATGCATCAGCACAAGTTGGCAGAATTCTTCGATCTGAACATATTGCCTAAGAACTCTTCATTCGGATGCTGACATATAACAAGGAAGCAGCGTGAATAAAGCCAGAGGTCACAGAAGAATACTGAACGGTAGCAAATACTTGCTCGCCTCGTTAAAGACTGCAAATATGTTTGCAGATGGTGTCCAGCAAGCTGTTTGATTTGACTTGCGGTGCTATTTTATCAGTGTTTGAAACTGCTGAAATTCATTGAACTGTATCTCTGTCCTGAGAATTATCCCCGTGAAGAAGGCGGATGTTAATTGCCTGTTGGGAAGGGTAGTTATTAGGTGGGAGGATAGAAACAATGAAGTGGGGTTTGCACTCCTTGTTCTGTTTATGTAGCAGTGTGGGTGTGGATATTGTATCCCTAAAGATAAATCACCTGTTTTGCCATCCCTGGCAACAGCTTGTTGAAGAGTTTCCCTCCTGTGGGAGAGCTATAAATGCCTGCCTTTTGAGAAATTCAAAGAAGCAAGACTAGGCCAGTGTAGACTTTGATAGCCTACCCCAAACTACTGCCCTCCAGATGTGTTAGACGGCAGCCCCACCTACACCCCAAGGAATAGCTGGCAAAACTAGCGAGGAAGGTTGTAAAAGGCGGCATTATGCCAGGGGCAGGGGAAAGCTGAACCTGGAGAAACTGATGACTCAGATCCACCTTCTTTTTTTGTTGGCGCAAGAATTCTTTGGGTGGAGTGATGCCCAGAATACACCTGTTGATAGGAGGTGGGGGATGGGGGAGAAGTGTTTTTTTTCACCCGTTTCTCCTCTCTCTCTGCACTCCCCTGTTCCATGTCCTCCACTGTTCTGGAGAACCTCTAAGAATGTATTTGGGGAGGCATAAGGAGACTGCAGGCAAATGAGTGAATGAAGCTTAGTCTCCCTACCTACCCTGACCCACATGAGTAGGAGTCTCTCTAGTCAGATTTTGAATCCAAGACAGTGGGCTGGGGGGGTGAGGAGCAGCCTACTTCAAAAGTCATCTTCAGAGTTACATGCCCGAGTTTTCAACATGGGGTGAGCATCATGGTTTTCTGATAAATTTGAAGCCCCAAGCTGCTATTTCCCAAAATGTTTCAGTCCCTTTGTCTCTGACTGACTGTTCTTTGTATATGCAAGGTCTCCTGCTTTGTTCCTATTGGGACTTTTCCTCCTTTGGGCTTTTCACTTTCCAGCACAGCACCTGCTAAAGTGATACCTAAAAGAACTGCTGTAATCTCAGGAATTTCTCAAGAAATATTCCCGTCCCCCCCCCCAGGGGCTCGTGCTCAGCTCTCTCCATGTGATCTTGAACACATGCATAAATGCCTCAAGCAGAATGTGTGCAGAAAAGATGCTTGTGTTAAGGCCTTTCAAAAAAGACAAGATGCATCAATTTAATATGGATGGTTGGAGGAAATGTCTTATTTGTAACACTGTTTTGAACCCTCTTCTTTCCTTCGCCCTTTCTCCCTTCCCGCCTTCAAAGGAGTGGATATTCAGCGACCCATTAATCAGACAACAGGACAAGTGTCTCTCTATCACCTCCTTCTCTACTGGCTCCCAGATCACCATCGAGTCGTGCAATCAGAAAGACGGCAGACAGGTACTGCGCTATCCTAAACAACACCCTTTTTATTTTATGCTGCTGCCACTGTGGTGCCATTGACACTCCTTTTAAAAATGGATTTGGACAGAGTGGTTTGAGATACACAGTCCGCTGGGATCTTGGATAGCCAGAGACTAGAAAGGTTATATTTCGAATGACAACTCTCATAATTCCCCATCCTGGGTGGGATATTTCAGGAATTACAGTCCAAAGAGCAGCTTTTCTACGCTGTGTGATATCTGAAATATGGCATGAATGGTAGGTATGTTGTACAGGTAACAGATCAAAATCATGTGCAGAAAGAGACTCCTTAAATTTGCTTCCCTTATACATGCTCATAACTGTCTAACTAACATAATTCTAAATGGAAGTGGCTGAGTATTAATGATGAGACAATGATTCTCCTCACAGTCTTGAATGATAATGTTACATACAATATCCTTGCCAGTCATTTCTGGGTGTGGAGGGGTCTGCCTCATCCAGCAGGTGGGGATCACAAAATACACCCCTGTGCCATCCATTGCTGGACGGAATACTCAGAGTCAGTGTCCAAACAACTGCAACATTTATTCTGAACCACACGTGGTGTTTCTCCACCTATATAATAAGGGGAAATTATCTAATGTCTGAGGCCCATACATTAGTGTTAGTGGTCATATACAGTGGGGTCTCTACTTAAGAACGTCTCTACTTAAGAACAATCCAACTTAAAAACAGCTCCATTTGCTAAATTTTGCTTCTACTTGAGAACAGAAATCAAAGATAAGAACAGGAAAAAAAACTTTCCTGCTCTTTTTTTAACCTTAGGTCATCTTAGGTTAAAAAAAAATTCTCCCCCTAGTGGTAGAGTACGTATTAACCAGCTTTGCATTAGTTCCTATGGGAACTAATGCTTCAATGTACGAACGCACCTCTACATAACAAAAAACAAACAAACAAACAAAAAAAAACAAAACAGCCAGAACGGATCAATTGGTTTTCAGTCCATTCCTATGGGAAATTTTGCTTCAACTTCAGAACGTTTCAACTTAAGAACACCATTCCAAAACGGATTAAGTTCTTAAGTAGAGGTTCCACTGTAGTTTCTATGGACGGAAAAGAGCAGATAATACTCAGAGTCAGTGTCCAAACAACTGCAACATTTATTCTGAACCACACGTGGTGTTTCTCCACCTATATAATAAGGGGAAATTATCTAATGTCTGAGGCCCAGACATTAGTGTTAGTGGTCATATACTCTCAACCCCCCTTTCCTGATCTCCTGTGCCAACTGGTGCATCCACAGAAACTGCCATTCCCTGCACAGAGAGTGAGTTAATTTGGGGTCAGGTCCTCCCAACTGTCCTGTTCCTCTTTTAACACTTGTCTGGTGTCCCACACTTCAGTTCAATCTTATCTTGACTCCTCCAGATCGAGCTCCTTCAGATAGTTCAGGGCCACCTTGGCCAGTGTAGGATTGTGTCCTGAAGTCACAAAACTAGCACATGCCTCTGCACCATGCTCCTTACTTTCTTCCCCACTCAGGGGCACCCACCCAGTTCTCTTGGTCACGCTCCTGCTCCTCCCGTCTTCCAACTAACCCCCCCCCGGCTCCTCTTCCAGCTTCCTTATATTCCCCACTTGGGGGGAGGTTTCTTTGATGGGCTCTTTCTGGCCTTCTTTCTCCTCCTGCCCTTGCATGTTCCTCCTGCCTTCTGTCTCCAGTGTGTCAGTTCATTCCTGCATAGTGTCTGGGGGGGGGCGGAATCCAGTCATGCCCAGCATGAAATCCTGGCAGAGACTCTCAGAGGACTAGTAGGACATGGAAAGAGACCCATTACAGTCCTTTCCATGTAGAAAAAGGTTCCAGACATATGGTTCTGTGTCTTTTGATAGCTATAGGAAGTTCATCTTCTCCTATTAGTGCTGGACAGTGAATGACAGAGAATCTACAAAAGAGCAAACTGCGATGTCTTGTTGTTATGAAGGAGGCACAGGGTGGACCTTCTGTGAGCTGGCACTTTAAGAAAATCTGGGTGGCTTCTGCAGCACTGTGGTTTTTTTGTGTACTTTCAATTGCCTGCAGATTTCTATTGCTCCAAATAAAGACCAGAGTGCTTTTGAAACCTTGTCCGTGGAAAATGTAAGCATATATTCTCCAAGGGATCAGGCTAATGGAGAGGTGTCTGTAAAAACTGTCACAGCACATTCACTGGGAAAAGCTTTCACAGTTAAAACTAGGACTATGTGAATTTCCCTGATGAGTTGTACATGCTTGGGTCTACCTTCCTTTCTCCTGATTGATCATACGTACACCAGCCTGTCCTGGAATTAGGTCACTGATTTTGTCCTTAAGTGCTTTGCTCTCACTGGCATTGGGCAGAATCTTGGAACAAAGTTTCTTTTGCACCTAATGAGCACTTCTCTGATAGCAGTACTCACCCTATTCTGACATTACTCACTCGGTTACTTTTCAGTACACAAGAAGCATGTTGCTATCATTGCTTTCCATACTCGCAGAGCAACAGATAAGAAGAATATGGAGGATTTCCAGGTAAACAACATTGTCAAACATTCGTAAAGCTCCTGGAAGTCCACATGGGCAGGAAGCTCTTCTGTTCAGGTGTGTTGATTTCCAAATGATTAGATTCATGAGGAGGGCTTAATACTCTAATCCTCCCATGTTGAACAGAAACCAGGCAAATTCAACAGGGCTGAATAGTTGTCTTTCTGCACCACATGTGAGACACACCACTTATATTTGAAATCAAGGCCCTACAACCTCTTAAATTACAACTGAACCAGAGGGGGCCCGGAAGATTACACGCTTCTTTTCTATCCTTTATTATTGAGAGCCAATAAGCAAGGCATGCTTGCTCAATGAGCAATGCTTCTGCCGTGCTTCACACATGTGTAGCGTACTGCCTCCCCCTGGGAATTTCACATAAACGGATCAGGACAAGGAGGAGCTAAGTTGGAAAAGGTACTCCCCTCTCATCCTGAAAAGGAAGCGCCTGCTTTGCCAACACACCCATTTTGTTACTCCATACTAGCCATGCTAGCTAGTCATAACAACAATTCTGAGTTTCAGGTATCAACTACTATTGTGCTATTTTTAACCTGTTTTGAATGTATTTTTAAACACAATAAAGAAATGTTCCTCCAAAATAGTATAATCTACCACAATTGGTGTATCCTCACATGAATTGTATCAGAATGTTATTTAGACCCTTAAAAAACCTACTTTGTGGGGCTGAGAGAGCTGTGCAGCTCTCTGTCCCCCACGAGCAGCAGAGTCGGAAGTGATCGTCTGAACCAATCACTTCCATGCTCTGGATGTGCTGTGGTTAACCGAGTCGACTCCAGAAACGCTCTCTCTCTCTCTCTCAAGTGGTTATTGACAAGCTTGACTCCAGAAATCATGTCAGGCTTTTGTTCATAAGCTGGGCTCCAAAAGGACCAATTAAGAGCCAAGAAAAACAGCCTGGCAAAGCCGCCTGTTGTGAAGGTGACTGGCGTCAGTCTCGCAAAGCTTCTCAAATCCCACCCCAGATAGTAACGAAAGCCTTGCTGCTGATTTTGTTTGTTAAAGGGAATATAGTTGTATGTTGTCTTGTTCTAGTACTGGTGCACGTACATACCCTTCTTGAGGTGTTGGATTTTTTTCCCCAGGGAAAAGGAGTAAACAGAGGAAGAGGCACCCTCCATTGAGTGAGGGTGAGATAACATGCAGTTAGTGATAAACAGAGGGAGCATGAAGTTTTAAAAAAAACCCTTAATGTTGTCCAAAAGCACCTAAGAAAGCTTAAGGCAAAGAGGTCTTAAAAGCTTTTGTGCTTTTTTGTTACAAAAGAGGAGTTATACATGATTTCACTGAATTTCATTCAAGTATCTTGTTTGCCCCGAGGCTGTTCTGTTTGGTTAAGACCTAGTTTCATTTTGCAGCAAGGCAAAATGTTCATATAAAGCTTGGAAATCCAAACTAAAATTTTGTTCTCTTTAACAGAAAAAGATTTATTTGACTAAAACTAATTTTTCCTGTTTTTCTTCTCCGTTTTGCATTATTTCTGCCCTGCCATAACATTTGTACTTAAAGTAATTAATTTGTCTATAAAGGCATAATTACAGCACATGAAGTGATCTCACAGATCTTCTGCAAACAGCATGAAATTCTGACATCTGGTATTTTGACAGTCATGTTTGTGGATATTATTTGTATTCAGTGGATATCTATAAATATATTTATTAGAGAAGTATTAAAAACTGCAAAAAAAGATTTAAAAAATTAAAATCTGATAGTATATCCAAA